AGCCCTAAAACTCTGAGAGCCAAGCCCTACACCCTCAACCCGCTTAACCTCCTTAACCCCCTTACTGTAACCCCCTTAACCCCAAAACCCCTAAACTCCTTTGCAGAGCTCAAGGCCTGAGCTGCATGGGCAACTTCCATCTTGATCTCGCTCTCCATGGCCTGGGATGGTACTGCAAGGTATCAGGGGTCAGGGTTTAGGGTTTAGGGTATCACCCCGTTATATGGGATATCTAGGGGTCGTATAGAGGGATTTAGGGTTTACCCCCAACCAAACGGAAAAAATGGAAACTGAAAGGGAAGAAGGATCGAAAGGGGTTGTAGGATCAAGTTGTGCGGCACATTCTGCTACAGCTTTATAAGGACTGTAAGGAAATAGTTCTGGTAATTGTACAGGCTTCTACATTATGTGACATGTATGTCATATGGACGTTTGGGGCTTTGAGAACTTTGATTTAAGTTACCATAATAGGTATCTGTAGCAATTGAAAATAAAAAGTTAAGATGGTTCCCCCAGTATAGCAACTGAGATTAAGTTCCTCAACAGCAACCCAGTTTAGGGTTACAGCGTGTGCATGTTGAGGATCGGGGCTTGCTACACGAGCGCTTCTCAGAATACACGCCAACACCCTAAACTAAACCCTAAACCCACCCTGAATTCCACCCTCGCCCGAAGAAACATGGACAAAGCCTAGAGTCTCTTCTAGAGGGCTGATATGGGCGTCCACGTCTTTCTGGGGAAGATGGTACTTTCCATGAAACGGTGGATCCAAGTATAAATCCCACCATACTATAGTCCTTCTTTTAAGGTCCGGCAAGAAGGGTCTCCTAATTTCCCAAAACATCAATTCCTATAAGACTCCACATCAACCCAGTTTCCTTTTCAAGTTCCATGTTCTTCTCTACGTGATGCTCGGTTATGGTGATAACCCCGGTCTGTCCCTGAATATCAGTTTCCATATTCAGCTTTGCATTTGCGTGGCTTGAAACGCCAAGCTGCCAATCTCTGCTGCTTCTCTAGCTCACTTTCCAGCTTCCTCAACGTGTCGATACTAATCATCACTAAACTTAAGGGTCCGATTACAAAGGGTACAGCAGTTTATCTAGATAGGGCTAAGCAGGGTTATACCCAGCTTCCTCAAGCAAGGTTTCGGATTTCCGGGCTTTCAAGTCTGGGGTTTTAGGTTTCTTGATAAGGCTATCATTATTACTAAAGGTTATAGCTATTACTTCATATTCCTTGCTTAACTTTAGTACAAACACAATCGACAACTATATACAACAATGATCACTGGTTCTTGGTTGGGCTACCATGACACTTGTGAGTACAATTGTGCTGTCCTATGTATGTATGTATGTATGTATGTATGTATGTATGTATGTATGTATAGTATGTGTGTGTAGGTACCCCTTCTGGAAAAAAGGCGATGTCCAACAATGACCCAGATCGAGGTCCCCGCGCGGAACACCCGTTTAAGGACCCTTCCACGCAACAGGGGCAGCTACATCAACCCTCCTAATAGCTTCAGCTATCCCTCCTTGTTGAGAGATACCCCAAACCCTAAATCCTAAACTCATATGGTAGTTCCCCAACATAAGGAGACCCCAATACATAGTCCAACATGCTTAATCTTTCTTATGGGGACCCCCCGACAAGGCACACCTTATCTTAGGAAACCCCCATATGCCCTGTTCTGGGTTCTGACAGGCCAAAACCTCGGCTGATTTCATGGGCTCCTTGTTTGGAGTTTCTAGACTAAATTGGGGAAACCGTGTTAGGAGTCCCACATTTGGGATATGCCCAGCTCATCCCATGCCTCTCTGCAAGACAGCCTCGAAGCTCGTTTGGTTGGGTTTGGGTTTAGGTTTCAGGGTGGGGACTAAAGCCTTACGTAGGGTTCTGGTGAGTCCCATCTGGTGGTTGGAAAAGCCACAGCAGCAGCAGTCAAAATCATCACATCCGCAGCAACCAAGATGACATAGCGCAACGTCAAGAGAATTAATTACAAATCAGAACGTCATACGGGCAGACTAACGAGTACTGTAAAATCATACCCCGAAAGCTTAATCTCAGACCCTGGACTAAATTTGCAGCATTTCCCTTAATAGGTCCCCAAAACGCTAGATATTCCCCCATAGGTCCCCCCAAACCAAAATTTAGTCCGTAGCTCGCATCGTGAACCTGTTTCACGCTGCAAGCTTCTCCTGAACTCTTAGAGTCCCCCTTCAGTAGACAGAATATGGGGCTTTTGGGGATCTTATTATAATATACCCAAAGCCATATTCTATCTACTTCAGGGGGACTATATCCCGAAATCGAGCGTCTTGCCCATGGACAGCCACTCCTCCCGCTCCGACCTTGCAGTGTCCATCGGCATATCTTCCTCACCTGCAGGCTTCCCACATCTGACACAAAATGAAGCTTCCCTAAACTTAGGGGTACCCTTCTCCCCTATTTGGGAAACTAACGAATCTACCCCATGGACAGAGACGGAGCTCATTACAGTACCTGAGGCATTGCAAGGGGCCTTAGCCTACGGTGATTTCTTGAATGACGGCTGCCATCCTGTCATCCATCAGGAAAGTTCCAGAGTTGAAGAAATGGTGCTATATGAGCTATAGTCTAAACTCCTTAAAGGAGACTATATAGGATAATATTACAGGAGTATTACAGGGGTTATTAGGAGGGATACTAGGAGTTTAGAGTATGGCTCATATGGGTGTATGTAGGGCTACCACCTACTATCTGGGTCTGAACAGCAAGGCGCGGCGTGCTCCGCAAAGAAACAAGTAGTTGAACAAGCTATTGGAAGCTACGCCATTATTTGGGATTATATAGGGATCATGACCATGACAAGGATCCTTCCCTTCTTTCCTTGCTAAGCAGGGGGACAAATGCAGCCGCGCAACCTCAAGCTTGATGCTTATAACTGGGGCTGCATGTACTACAAGATTTCAGATCTATTTCAGGTGCCCTCTACTTTACTTGCACAACCAGTTTGAGACCACCATGCTGATAATCATTCGGGCTTATGCTCTACCTGGATGGTGGGAACATCCTTGCGCAGGCTTTCGCGAACGACAGGCATCAAAAGTTCCCTGAGGACTTAGGCAGCACATATGAGCCATAGTCGAAAGTCCTTAAAGGGGGTTATATAAAGGAATACACCATGCACCACTCCAACAACTCTTGAATCATCAATCTGGCGGAAGCACAAAACAAACCATCTAGCTAAATGTCCCACCCCCATAAGTGTGGGAATGACATGGTTTTCGGAATTCTGGCTTTATCATCCACGTGTCTGTCATCTTAGGTCTCCGTAAATTTCTCCTTCCTAATCTGTTAGCCATCCTTGAAATAAGACTCTTTCCCGACAGTTTGAAAGTGCCCCAGCAGGCCTTCCTCTTCTGCTCCATGTAGGTCAGGCGCGGCCTTGTTGAATGATCCCATCTAATGAGGAAGTCACATGTCACACTGTTGGGGCGTTCAAGGCTTAAGTGGCAGAAGCTGCTTGACATGATTGAAGGCTCACGATGTGCGCCTACCAGCGGCTTCAAGGCTAAAGTAGGGGCAGCTGATGCTCATGATGCATGCTCGCCAGGGGGTTCAAGGCCAAAGTGGGGTCAGCCGAGATGCTCATGATGCATGCTCGCCAGGGGAAGGCCAAAGTGGGGGCAGCTGATGCTCGTAATGCGGGCTCGCCAGGGGTTCAAGGCCAAAGTGGGGGCAGCTGATGCTCATGATGCATGCTCGCCAGAATTTCAAGGCCAAAGTGGGGGCAGCTGATGCTCATGATGCGGGCTCGCCAGGGGTTCAAAGCCAAAGTGGGGGCAGCTGATGCTCATGATGCGGGCTGGCCA